CACAAGATAGTTTGAAGGTTCTTGACTCTTGTGAGCCCAAATCCACGGCATAATGTTGTTACTTCCTCAAAAACAGACCTGGTGTTGTGTTTTGTTTCATTTACACATTTGAGTAACTTTATTATTAGTCTGTCTACATCTCTAAAGCTCAAAACGCTCTGTTCCACCTTGTGATGTCATGAAGCGAAGCGATAGTTTTCCTCCTCCTTTTAAACTTTTGTTCAATAGAGATTGGCAATTCCAGACTTGAAATTATCAGTTTAATGTAAGGTGTATGAAATTTAAAAACACAGTGGAGCACTTCCTGTACTACCACATGACATCACAAGGTGGAACAGAGTGTTTTCAGTTTGAGAGAAGAGCCTAAACATGCAGGTTTGTGTGTTAAACATGTGTGAATGAAACAAAACAAAACTCCAAGTCTGTTTGTGATGAGGAAACAACTTTATAACTTAATCTAAAATCTCTTTGCCTGGAAAGATAAAGATTTGCAAAGAAAGATTTATTTATCCCACAATGGGGAATTTACAGTGTTGCAACGCAAAATTCAGGATCAGCAGGAGAACAAGAACGTGCAATTAAGATAAATAAATAACGATTAAAGGACTTAACAATAGACATAAAATCCAACACAACACTGTGCCAGCAGAGTAAACAGTACAGCATTAAACTGATTTTGGACGATCATAAACGATAAACTTTTGTGCTTTTGTTAACATTATTATTAGTTTGTACGACCCTAAATGAAAAATAAAAGGCATCTCTAAAAAAATTAAGATCGAGCAGTTAGTTTATGGAACAACCCGAGTGATTATTTAAAAAAAAAAAAAAAAAGTCTAACACTGTAGAAGAGAAATATAATCACTTTTTTTCTTAGTTCTCATCTTAATTTTTTTAAAGATGCCTTTTTTTAAAATTTTATTTAGGGTCTTACAAACTAATAATAATGTTAACAAAAGCACAAAAGTTTATCGTTTATGATCGTACAAAATCAGTTTAATGCCAGCAGAGTAAACAGTACGGCATTAAACTGATTTTGTACGATCATAAACGATTAACTTTTGTGCTTTTGTTAACATTATTATTAGTTTGTACGACCCTAAAATTTATAAAAAGGCATCTTTAAAAAAATTAAGAAGAGAACTAATAAAAAAAAAGGGGTTAGTTTATGGAACAACCGGAGTGATTATTAAAAAAAAAACACACTCTAACACTGTAGAAGCCTTAAAAAAAAAAAAGAGTATAAAGCGTTATGTTTTGAAAGATACAGAGCTCTGGAATGAATGAATTATGCTTCAGCCTTACATCATTTATCTCTGGGTCTGTGTGATTTGTACACCAGAGCTTTGAAAGAGCGCCATCTGCTGTTTACACTGTGTGAGGCCGGAGCTGGTTCATTATAGGTGAGTTTCATTGTTGACAAAAGCGTGCGCTGCATGCTGGGAATTATTTTGGTCGGCTGCAATAAACACTAATTCAACATGACGGACGGAGCGAGAAAGCACGTAAAGGGTATTGATCCCGGTTATTTATCCACTCTAACGGCAGAGGACCCAAGAGTATTTGACCAGAAATTGGTCATAACATCAACAGACGCCAAATCACCCTTTTCAACCCCGACAAAAGGTGGACCAAACCAAATTTCTGGTCAGAATCGCCAACTACCTGGACAAATATTCACTTGGGTGATATCCACAATGACTTGGTGGAAACTCCTGGGCCATTCACAGCAGAAAAGATGAAAACCTCCAAGAGTCTCGATGTGTTGTTGAACTTGTTGGAGTCCACGGTTTGTTAGGATCTTCTACGTTTGCTCTGCGGAATGTTTGAAACCCGTTTAATTCACCGTTAGCGGTTCTTTTCACTCAGAATACGAAAAAGACATTTTCCTTCTTCCGTGCTTCTATTTGTGCATCCGATAATGCAGCAGGAATTTTACCATTATCGGGGATAAATACGCGAGGTTACGCACTGTGTTTGACGCTACCGTGTTTCTTGCCTCCGACCAAAATATTTCCCAGCATGCAACGCGGGCTTTTAATAACAATGATGTCAGCTGAAACTCGCCTATTGGAAACAGTCTTAACATATCATGGAAACTTTTTCACCTTAGGCCTCAGTTTGACAGGAGGTCTGGTGGTCATGTGACAAGCAGCTGCCTCTACAGACCAACATCTTAACACAGGGGTGTCAAACTCATTTTGGTTCGGGGGCCGTATCCAACCTACTTTGATCCCAAAGGGGCCAGATCAGAAAACTCATGTTATATAAACCCCAAAAATAACAATAAGTTCAAATATTTGTGCAGAGAAACACAAATCTATTACAGATGAACTCTTTCTTTTACAAAATATTATAATATTATGAACAACCTGAAACTTTAAGAAAAATGTAATTTCAACATGAAGTTTTAACATGAACTTGTATGTAAACAGGAATAAGTCAATTTTTCTTGTAAAATCCTGCACTCGGCTCCACTTTTCTCATTTTGGAAATTTTTCTGATGAGGGTGTCACGGTCAACAGTCAAAACAATCGTCCTTTAAGAGCGTTTGGAAAGAGACACCACAGAAAATTAACAAGATTTTAATAGAAAATATAATTAAAATATTTTAGTAGAAAATCAGCCGAGGGCCAGATTAAAGGTCTTGGAGGGCCGGATCCAGCCCCCGGGCCTTATGTTTGACACCCCTGTTTTAACACTTACACTGGTTTATTGAACTAAACCACCATTAAACTGGCCGTGTGTTTCTGTGTCATGCAGGGATCACAGTCAGGTCAGGTGACACAACGACACAGCTCATTCTGAATGTCAAAGATGACTTCGGGTTTGTCATTTCACAGATATTCACAATAATCAGCATTTATTTTGCCAGAGCAGAAATGGCATTGTGGTTTGGTGATCCCATGACTCTGGCTGAGACATAGGCACATGTTGTTCAAGTAAAATCACATGGAAGAATGTTAAACTAGTTGGACATTCATTTGTGAGGTTTGTAGAAGTTGGATTATCACGGTTATAGAGCTGCAACACTTCAGCACTTTTCTGAAAGAGGGATGATAATAAAACTCAGGGATGAACTGTTTGTGAATTTGCCTTTTTACTATTGGCTAAATTGTTTGATTAAAATTTGATGGGACCTGCAGCCGAAGTATTTGAGTAAAACACATGATGGAAGCACAGATGTATCGTATAAGCAACTCTTGAGGTCAAAATAAGTCTGCTGTGTACAGTTAAGATTTAATTACGTTATTTTGTTTGTCAGAGAATCCGAAGTGAGTATTCGAGCATGTTTTTAGCGTTCGTTATTGTGACGGCAAGACTCCGCTCTGACCTTGAGTGCTTCCAAACTCATCGCAGTGAATAATTAGGACGCTCGGAATTAGAGGTGCTTCAGATAAAACAAAATAACGTGATTGTGATCGACAAAACGGACCGATTATCTTTCAGCAAAATTCCATTGATGCAAAAACTAGTTCAATTTTGGTCAAACTTCGTATCATCAAAAGCCTATATGAACTGTTCAAATGATAAAATAATTTGCATCACTATATCAAAGTCCACTCGATTTGTATTGGCCATGATCAGTATCGGTTAGTCAAAAATTCATAGGGTCGGTATCGGTGCTTGGCCAAAAAAAATTCAGATTGAAAAGCAAAAGCTGCACTGGTTCCTGTGGCTCAGAGACTTAAAAGTGGCTCTGCTTGTGCACAAGTTTCTCCATGGCTGAGGATAAGTCTGTGCAATTAATCAAATTTAGATCGCGATTTCAATTTGTGTGTCAAACGATCTCTAAACTCATATAATCGAGTTGAAATGATCAAGCCTAAAGTTTATTTTGAGATATTTTTCATATAAATAAGTATGTTTATTTTATTTTTTTAAATATAGAGATTGTTGAACAGCTGGATATTTAGTTTATTTTGAACACATTTATGTTTTTCTATGCCTTATTTCATGTTCAAAGTATATTTTATTCATTTTAAGTTTTGCACATTGCTCAAAGTTCATACGGTATTTGTAGCCTATATTTATTTTCAGTTTGAAAGTTTTGCGTAAATTATCAATAACAAAATGTTTCGTTTAGTTTTTTTGAGAGAGAGAGAAATGCTGAATAAATGCATTGTGTAACTATAACTAATCATAATAATGATTTTTTTCGTAATCGAACAGCAACAGCCGAGCACCAAAGTACATCTGTGACATGTTATTTATTTATTTATTTTAATGAAACAGAGACCGTGCACAATTTTTACATTAACCTTAACAGGAGAGATGCTTTGTACCAGGATGTAGCACCAGTGCGAATTTCCACCTGTCGTCCCTGAGCAGGTTCATTGATTGATTGTTTTTAACTGACCTTGAATATCAACTGTTCTTCCTGGAGACCTGTGTGTACGTTTTGTTAGTGCCACATGAAACATCTCACACTCTGAGGAGCTCAGGAACCGACCTCCTGCTGGTGCCCAGAGTCACAACTAAACACGAGGAGTCAGAGTTTCAGATTCACGTAGCTAAAACCTGGAACAGTCTGAACATGTAACACAGATTCTACTCTGTTTAAATACAGGCTCAAAATGGTTCTGTTTAGCTGCATACGACTGAAAGTTTTTCATTTTTCAATCTGCTCTCTTCTCTCTCATTTAATGTCTCTCTCTTTTTAATTTTATGATGATTATTTATGTTTTGATTTGTTTTTATTGTGATTTTAATGTATTTCTTATTCTGTAAAGCACTTTGAATTACTTTGTGTACAAATTGTACCTTGCCATGCGATAAATGAGGAACAACTTTGGACTGCAGCAACCTGTATAAACAGAATTAGTTCTGTTTTTTAACATACAAAAATCAATGACAGTGCCTTTAAATTCTGTATTTTTAAACTGTTTTCTTCACCAAATCGTGTCTACTAGTATTTAAAAAAGAAAAGAGAGTAAGGATTGTTGTTGTTGTTATCAGGTGAATTGAAACATAGATGTGTGTAGAAGAGTGTCACTTACCCTCCTTCGCTCTCTGCCTCCTCTGAGCTCCTGTCCGCCCTCGCAGCTGCAGCAGGGGCCCGTCTCCTCCTCCCGGCGGCGGTCCTGTGCATCGGGCTCACCCTCCGCGCCTCCGGGCCCCTCAGCTCGTCCCTCACGGCCTCCTGTATCGTCGGAATGGCCGTCTTCAAAGCCTTCATCTCCTCCTTCAGCTCCGACACGCACTGGATCAGAGCCTCCAGCCTGTTCAGAACCTCCACCTGGCCCGTGGGGAGAGCGCCGGGGCCGTCCGTTACTGTGAGCCCATAGACGAGGTCGCTGCAGGGGGTGCGGAGGGCGGGCGTGGGCATGGAGTGGCGTCTTCTGCGGTGGAGGGTGTAGCCCTGGTAGCACGCCACGGCCAAACCGAGGCCTGCCACTCCGGCCAGAGCTCCCAGGATCAGGACTTTGTTATCGGACTGGGCCATTTTACGAGACTGTGGAGAAATAACAGCAAAAAACATTAAGATAATAACCTCTGTTTTTTATAAGTCAGGAAAGCCAGTCTGGTTTAAGCTGTTCTTCAGTTTTCCAGTACAAAAAAAAAACTTATTTTAATGTGAAAATATTATGGCATGGTTGTGTATTGAGAAGGATAATGGACCCTGTTAAAGGATCAGGTTAAACACACACAGATTTTCCTTTTAGACCAGAATACAATAACGCAGACCTGAGCATTGTCCAGCTCCCGGGCCACATACGGGACCCGGTGGTTGACTTTGACCGGCCTGTCTAAGCTTATTTGGGTCAGTCCGTACGAAATCAGCCATTTTCAAGGAATCTCCCTTATGAGCCATCTCAGATTTGGCTGAAAAAAATTCTAAAAAATTTTTAGCTCAATCCCTTGAGTCGTTCCTGAGTTATGGCTCGTTGAAATTTTGGGGCCATGCTCACTTTTTCAGAAGCCTTAATTTATAATCATGTTTGAGAGACCAGAACTTCATAAAAATAGAGCTAGGAAGCTGAAAATTTGTATTATTGTACATTCTTGGTCAGATTTTAAATCTGCTGTCAAATATTGTGTATCTTTATTAAGAGGGGCACTGTGGGCCTCCATAATCTCACATTTGGTTGCCGCTCAATTTATTTAATTTTTTTTCAGTTTTTGAGGTCCAAGACCTATTTACTCCAAGCAGCTTCCTAGCTCTATTTTTTGATGAAGTTATGGTCTCTCAAAAGATTATAAATTAAGGCTTCTTAAAAAATGAGCATGGCCCCAAAATTTTAATGGGCCATAACTCAGAAACAACTCAAGGGATTGAGCTAAAATGTGAGATTCTTTCATTTGGTGATTTTAGAAATTTTTAGAATTTTTTTCAGCCAAATCTGAGATGCTCATAGGAGAGGGAGGCTGATTTCATATGGACTGACCCAATTGGAATTTGAATTACAAAATAAACTTATTTTATAATTTTACTTCATTCCTGGACTAAAGCTGCATTGCTTTTATTTTAAAGCTGTTTTTTTTAATGACATTTCTTGTAACCTCACTTCTTCATTGCTTAGTCATAACAAACTCTTACCGGTCTGACGAGCTCGTCAAAACAATCTTATTTGCTACAATTAATATTATGCAAAACTGAGTTAAGCATTTTGGCCTGGCCGCAATATTTTCTGTTTCTCATGTGGCCCCATGGGAAAAAATGATTGTCCACTTCTGCAGTAACGGCTTCATAAATACTGTATAATATAGTCTGGGCTTCTAAAATAAAAATCTGCAAAAATCTACAAATCAATACTGAAACTAGAATCAAAAACGAGATACTCATTTGTATTTTATCTGATTTGATTTGATTGTGATCAATTTATCTATATATTTAAATAGATAAATCCATCATTTTAGTATTTCCAATAACCTGCCCAGAGACTACAGGTGTAAATAAACATTCATTCTATAATCTTGAACCAGGATCTTTCCCATGACTTTTGTCTTGTTTGATGAATTGTTGCGCACTGCCACTGTACAAACACCCCATACCATTTAAAGTATCAATACTGAAAAATATCGATAAAATGTATTTTGTTACTTTCCAGTCGGACCCAGTACCACATGATGAAAGAAAATATTATCATTTTGTGCTGAAAAATAACTCCTTGTGATATCAAAGTCATATTAATTTGGCTTCTGAGTTTTCTTAATATCAAAAGAACTGCCAACCTTTTTCCTCCAGTGAGCTACGTTTACAAAAAGAAAATGCCAAAGAGCTACTCATTTTAGTGGTACAATGACCAGATTTTAAAACTTCAAAACTGGGACGCACCTGGGTTGGAATGGTTGATATACATAAAATTATGAAAAGAGTGTGCAACATAATCTGAGGGACTTCTGACTCTGCATTTTTTGCTTTATTGTGATTTTTTGTATTTTGGCTAAACAAATGATAATTTATGCTCCTTTTTACTGTTGGCTAGGATCTGATTAGTCAAAAATTTTGACAGTCCTGTCTTAGTCCTGGTTTAGACCTGATGTAATCCTGGTTTAGTCTTAGTTTAGTCCTGATTTAGATCAAATTGGTCAAAAATAGGGACACGTGGGACATGTCTTGTTTCTCGGCTACATATACTTATAAAACATAAACCTTTATCTATTTATTAGTGCACAAAGATAGGCAGTAATTAGTTAGTTTAATTAGTTAATCCAGAAACCCCTTGGCGAGCTACTTGGAAGGTGGTGGAGAGCTCCTGGTAGCTCCCGAGCTACAGGTTGGAGATTCCTGTTGTAGACTGTAGCTTGAGGGTTTAGGCACAATGAAAAGGCCAGTGAGTTGGTGACTGCCACATACAAACAGACAAGCATTGGCACACAAATTAAATTAAACATTTAGAGTGACCAAATAGTCTAACATGCATTTCTGTGGAAAGAGCTGTAGCACTACAGTGAAAGCCAAAAAAAAAACAAAAAAAAAAACATCAAGCACATGTTTACTTGGTCTTGTTATTATGTAAATTTAAGGACAGTTTCAAGGTTTCCACATCTCAAAACGACTCGTCCCTCACCCGTTCAGGGACTGTTGTTACTGCTGATACCAAGACTAATCACTAAAGCGCACTGGTTAAAAGTAAAACAACATTAAGACAAACACAAAATCTATCAAATACAGCGAATATTGCGAGTCACAGATGACAAATATAGTAAATTAATCACGCAGAGCCTAAAACTATCACCTAATGAATATATCGACTTCTTAGGGCCGTTACGATATCCAAATCTCTCAGTACGATACTTTCACGATATGCATCTCACGATACAATATTTATTGCGATATTTTGTGGAGGATAAACAAAACTGTTACTATGCCACTTTTTTACTTTTAAAATGCCAAGACTTTGGTTCTGTTATAATCCAAAGAATTAAGATTAAAAAGTGCGTATAACAGTTATTTCTTCTTGTAGTCTGCACTGACACTGAGCAAAGGATCATGGTCTATGTAGTTCCCTCTTGAGTCGTCCGCAGTGCAGACTTCTTGACACAGCTCCTCCAGGGGACGAGGCTCCCAGGCCAGCCGAGAGACATAGTCCAGCGTGTCTGGGTCTTTCTGCGGGACTGACACCTGAGCATCCGGAACAAGAGCCACCTCAACTGCTCCTCTCGACGTGGAGGAGCAGCGGCTCTACTAGCTCCTCCCGTGTGACTGAGCTTCACCCTATCTTGTTCATTTGAGCTTTAATTGTTGCACTATATCTTTTAATTTTAGATATAATTTTAAATTTTCAGTTTAATTTTTAATTTAGGCAAAGAGACTTGTAATTCGATATATTGTTCTGGCCCACAGTATTATTGTGAGACTTTTGACAATATGATATCACGATATTTCAGTTATTTTTCACTATATGAAAACTGGAACAATATATTTTGGGGCTCAGCATTTATCGTGTGTACAATTTCTTTGCAATAATGGGAAAATTTTTGCCAATTAAATATAATAATAAAGTATTTGAGCTGTATAGGGTAGAATAAATATCTTCTGTGGCAAATTATTGGTTCATTCTGTTATTTATTTGCCTTTTATTGATACTGTTTATTTAAAAATGATTAACTGGGATTATCCTGCTTTGTCAAAGTGGCATGAAGTTGTTCCAGTATTATTATTTAACTTTATATTTCTCTAAAGCCCGTTTTAAATGCGCTAAATAAATAAACTTAAATTGAACATATCGCGCTTCAAACTTTGTTATCGTGACAGTCTTACCTAAAACCACTTCTAATGTCACACATGGTTTTGCCATTCCTCAAATATGACACATGTAAATATTACAAAATAGCCAGTGTTAAATATTTTTAGAAGATATTTTAATCATTGACTGAATTTGGTGAATTTTATAAGGGTTGACAAAGTTTAAACAAACCAAACACTAGTGGCAGATTAACTTGGATAAGAAACATTAAACCTTTAGATCTTGCTTCTTTATTTCTTCATTCAGCTTATATTTAACGATTTATAAAGACTAATCAGCTAGATAATTAGGGTAAACATTGAAAAAGCAGATTATTCTCGTGTCTGGCGTTCACGATGAGCTCAATTTTTATCAAGAGCTAATTTATTTCATGAGGTGGTGTCATGGCTGCAAGAAGAATCAATATTAAGCATAAAAAAAGTAAAATATTTAACAAAATAAACGTCTCCGAACGTTAATGCGACAATCCAGCCCCGTTCGAACAAATTCCGTAGAGATTTAGTGGAAAAATCAGATTCCTCAGTGAGAATGATGCAAACAAACTTACCTCTCAAGGTTATTCGGGTAAACAGCGATCGATTCTTAATTTCCTTAAAAACGCATGTTAATAAAACCGTAATCGTGGGCTGTCGTCGATTAAAAGTTCCAAAAGTGTTTGTTAAAACGCGATAAGGAGGAAGAGCAGCGCAGACACACGTTTGTTTACACTTTTCCACTTGACAGCTACGCGGTGCTGCAATTTAAAGGTCCGGGTGGGAACTGTTGTCGTAAGAATAGTTCCGCCCTAAACGTATGCGAGAGCGCGCGGATTAATTAAATAAAAAAAATATATATAATAATAATAATAATAATAATAATAATAATAATAATAATAATAATAATAATAATAATAATATAATAATAAGCGAAATTATACTTCATAGCACATAACAAAAATTGCATTGTGTCTGCTTATCATATCCTAGTATTGGATTCTAAATTACTTTTTTTTTTTTTTTCTAATAGTGGCATTTCACTGGGTCACACCAGATTGATAAGTATATCAAGCTGAATTGAGCTGTACATATTATGTCATTGTTATTTGGAACGTCTCTCCCTGAAAGCGTTGAGAAAAAGAAAAAGGAGGGCCTTGCTAGTGAATGACTCCAGCTAATTGAGCAAACTGTGTTCACCTGTATGAAGTTTGTGTAATTTCAATGCGTAGCTATAAAACTGTTCATAACATGTCTGCTCCGTGCACACAGGACACCATGCATCTTTTTCTCATCTCTCACTGTTTTCATTTGCCAATAACTGCATAAAGTTGTCCTCTTAGTGCAGGTAACAAATGCAAATGGTCAAATTTTTCTATAGCTTTTCCACCTTCAAGGCACTCAAAGCGCTTTACAACAAGGAACCACTCACCCATTCACACACATTCACACAACAGTGTGCCAAGACACTGTTTGCAAGGTGGGTTAAGTGTCTTGCCCAAGGACACAATGACAGCATTCATCTGTGGGAGCTGGAATCACACCAGCCAACCTGTGGGTCAGTGGATCTGACCACTCAACCTGTGATGTTTATGTCGAGAGCTGGATTCAAACCGCCAACCTTCAGATCAGTGGGCAAATGCTCTACCAACTGAGCTACTGCCGCCCAAATACAGAAGTTTCACAGTTAACCTGCTTAACCACGGGTTTGGTGAACAGTTTGATCAATAATCACTGCCGCACTCCTCATGCCTAACCTGGGACATCCATTTAGATTCAGTGGAGACATTGAAAGTACCACAGTGAGTACAGGCGCCCCCTGCAGGCGACTCTGTGGGGGGTTATGTGGGTGTACGGACTTTATGTGTTACTCAAGGATCCTAATAAATATATTCTTGTAATTCATCTGTAAAACTACATTTCACTCCATGTACATGCACGTGTCTGTCACTTAGACTTGGCTGTGGTTTTATAAAGATATTTTTTTATATTTTTTCAAATTCATCCCCAATGTAAATGTATTATTATGGGCCTCTGTGCTGTACTGCACATATCGTACACCACGGTGCAGAGGGACATAAACTTACATCAAGAGAAATTCTTAAACCATGACAGCCCTACACAGAAACCCTGTGTTTGGGCCGATCACTGCTCAGGTTGAATTTAAACCGTACATCTGGAGCACCTCAAGATTCTTCAGTTTGAAGAAACAGCATGGATGAGCTGCGAAACGTTTTCGAGCAAAACACTTTTGTCCAGTTGATAGAATAAAATTTCTCCTTTGCCATGAATCCTACCTAGACGAGTGAGGAATTACAGGAACATTGTGTGTTTTTATTGTTTGAAAAAAATGTCTATGTGGCATTTAAAGCTAAAACTAGTGATGGATTGGATTACTTTGATCTAATTCCACCTAACAAGGTCACCTATTTTCTTATTTACAGCAGCTATTTATGTTGCTCTTTCCATATTATTTTATCTCATCATTATTATTGTTGTTGTTAGGTACGGTGTCGCTCTGCACACGAGTATTGTCTTACACTAACAATACTTCATCGATGCTGAGACACCTGCGTGACAATGGTTAAATTTGTCCACTAGAGGTCAGTGTTTCTCCGAGAATCCGTGTATCATTCGTTCATTCGTTTTTCAATATAAAACCAAAAATAAGAAAATGAAAAAAGAACAGTTTTCTTCGTTTTTTCAGTTTTCGATTTTGTGTTTAAATGAAGAATGGAAAAAACGGATAACGGCCGTTTCCCATTTACGTGACTTGCGTGACTGCGATGCCGGACTTTTGCATCGCGTGCGGACTGAACCAGGACTGATCCAGGTCCGAGACCAGACCAGGACCAGAGCGGGACTGAGACCGGGTGCGGTGCAAAAGTCCGGCATCGCAGTCACGGAAGTCACGTAAATGGGAAACGGCCGTTATCCGTTTTTTCCATTCTTCATTTAAACATAAAATCGAAAACTGAAAAAACGAATCGTTATCCGTTTTTTCATTTTGCTTTTGGAGACAAATAGTGAAGAAAACTGCTGTTTTTTCGTTTTCTTATTTTTGGTTTTATATTGAAAAACGAATGAACGAATGATACACGGATTTCCGAGGCCTCAGACACGTCGAACCATTTGAGACAATATTGCGACTGAGATGTCAATGCTTCACGAGGCTCCATTCACCCATCACCAGCTAAAAGTATGACTTTGCATTTTCTTTAATAATAGCAAGTAAACGCAGAGCAGTGGGCGGGGACATGGGGTAAACGGGAGCTCAGTCAAGCCTCGAATGAAGGACAGAACTCTAAGATGATGTAACCATTATCACTGTTCAACTTTGAATAATGATGAAGAAACACACCATAACAGTTCAAAATGTTTAAAATTCTTTTTTTTTTTTTTTTTACAATATTTGCAACTAATTTCAAGTAACTACATTGGCTATGTCCACTGAAAAAAATAAAACTAGGCCCCTTTATGTTAAAGGTGTACAGTACTGTGTAATTTTCCACCATTTTCTTATCTCAATTAAGTTTTTTTTTTTTTTTTTTTATTATTATTTCTCAAAACTACTGTAAAAACAACCATTATTACCATTATAAAAACAAGTACACGTCCCATTATCAAACCAACCCTGAACTTTCCAGACCTCTGTGTCCTTCAGTTTGTTGTAGATCTGTCACGTTAAGAAGGACGCGCCTCCACCAGAAAAGTTACACAATGCACCTTTAAATATACATTCTTCAAGTAGTAAAAATCAGAACCTATTGTTTAATTTGTTCGCACGTGTTTATTTTTGGGCTGTGTAGCGTTCAGAGGTCACTGGAGTTCTTTTACATAACTCACACTGCTACGTGCGTTTTCTTTCCTGCTCCTTGAACGCACCATTGTTCTGAGCCTCCATTCTGCCCTCACAAAAAAAAAAAAAACATGAACATGAGTCAGGGAGAAATAATAATAATAAAAATAATAATGCACGTGAAGTGGAAATTAGAAAGATGTTTTGATTTGCTGTGTGTTTGCATCCAGCCGTGGCCTCGCAGCTCCCACTGGGTCAAAAGCAGCAGATAAGAACGATCAGCCGACTTCAAAAACAGTCCAGGGCCAACGGGAGGGCGGGTGAAGTCTGTCACACTTTACAGCAATGTTACAGCAGGACGCAGGAGTGAAATAAAGCATCACTATCAGAGGCAAACGCCAGAAAGAACTCGTTTTCCCATGAGAATGATGGGGCGCAACAGTCCCATCCACATCAATGCCAAGTCCCAGAAGTCACTGTCCCATTCATTTTTCCCATAGACTTAAAGGTGCACTGTGTACCGTATTATATATATATATGGGTCCGGTCAAGTGGTAACGGAGGGAAACAGGGGCAGATTTTTGACATTCAAATGTCTCTTATTCAGAAACTAGAGGGACTATTGAAATAAGTAAAGTATCAGAATGTAGGAAAGAGTTACACTCCAACAGGGTCAAGTTAAACCTGTGAGATTCTTTCAAGTTGTTGACAAAAAATTTTAAAAACTCATGTTCGGTAACGGAGGGAATGAAATATGCAGCACTTTTTGGCCAATAAATCCAAACAGTGATAACTCTTGGTTCTCACTTACATATCCTTAACAAACTGGTTTGAATATTTGCTTCATATAGTTTTCTACCATATGGTACAAGATTAGGTTGAAAAACCTCTGACTTTTTGAGTAATGAGATTTTTTATTAAGAAAGGTCATGGTAACGGAGGGAAAAGTAACGGAGGGAAAATTGTGCAAACAAGTAGAAGGTGCAGGATTTTACATCATTTGTCACTTTTTTTCTTCTGAAAACTTTAATATTACTTCAAAATGAAAGGAAACTATTTCTATAAAATATGTCAGTCCTTCCAAGCAAATTTTTATCATTTTAAGTACTTTTTTTTTTTTTAAATCATGTACCTTCATCAACAGTTCAAAGATGGAATAACACAAGATATGATGAAATACATCCATTTATTTACATGATTTTTGGGGTCTTTGAAATTTGGGAAATAATTTTTGTTCCATGTTTCATACATGGTCTGTTTAAAACGTATGTAACTTTAGAACCAAAAATGGTACAGAAAAAAGGTAAACAGTTTCATAAACTAGAGTACATATGTATCTGTTCAATACATTTTTATATCAGATGCATTAACTTGAATTTTTGGTCTTGCTGTTTACTTCTGCTTGACCAGGCCCTTATATAAGTCGCACTGGATTATAAGTTGCACTTTTTTGGGGTAATTTATTTTATAAAATCAAAGACCAGGAACCAAGATTATATTTTGAAAGGAAAGTTCTAGTAATAACAATAGAAGAGAGAACAACAGACTGTTAATGTCACATATGAACAGTTCTTTAGATAAACTATAACATAAACAACAGAACAGAACAAGTTTAACAAACTCTCCATCTCACTCCAAATCACTAAATCCATTCAATTCTTCATCCTCGGTGTCACTTCTGAGCAACTCCACAACCTCCGGAGGTAAAAGGAGCATCGCTTCCTCTTCTGCGTCGCTGTCGTCAGACTCAGCATCAGTTCCAGTTAGAATTATTCTGGTCTTTCTGAATCCCGACAGGATGGTTTCGGTGTAAAATGTTTGAGTAACTTATTGGGTTATAAAGTTTCTGAAATAGAAATAGATTTTAAATAAAGGGAGAAAGGGAGGTATTTTATTTTGTTTATTTTTTATTCAATTGAATTTTTTATCTCATTATTTTTAAATTTAATTA